TCCAATATTACAGCAGCAAAGTGGATAGAGAAAAAAAAAACAGTATGAAAAAATAATATAATATAAACACTGTACAAGAGAAAAAACAGTAAAAAACCACAACAGATAACACAATATCACAAATACTAGCAGCAGTTGCACATGGGCAATAGATCGCACAGTGAATATATCACAAACATATCTCTGTTGCACACATTTATGGTTACTTTATTTCTTTATTTCTCTTATTGTTTAGTTTTTTTCTTGTGAAATATTGGATACTTTGACATGATCCCAACTCCTCTTCATACTTAGACTTTAACCTATGACAGGACTGAGTTGTCCTATGATTGTTATGTGATTTTGTTCATGTTACATCACTTTGTCCGTAGTGTATAGTTTTATAGACACATGTTTGAATTCCAAAAAAGTCATCTTATTAATAGATGCTGAAGACAATAAATGAAACGCGAGTCAGGTTAAGTGCTGTCTGATGACGTTTCTCTCGTATCTAGGCAACACAGCATCTTAAAGGCACAATGCAGCTAATGCAGTATGTAGACTGAGGTACATGATTGCACTCATAGAGCCACCCATATCCACATATTAGCTTAGCTTATTTTACAAAATCAGCAGTGCCGTGGGGCTCCATGAGCCTTTGCACTGTTGCTTTTGATTTATTTATTCGTTAGCAAAAAGCACAGTGTAGTACATTGTGAGAGTTCACTAACAGAAGAAGTGCCAAGTTGTTGTAAAACTTGTATTTCATGGAAGAAGGAAAGACTAGCCAGCCCGGGGGTTCGATTCGGCTGAAACGATCTTCCCCAGGTGCTCACAAACAATCTCGTTATTACTGAAGTTATGTAACGTCTGAGGTAAGATCAGGAGGGAACGGGTACAGGAAAAAGATTGCGGTCTTTCAAAGAATATATTCGTGTGTGTGTGTGTATTGGATAGTGGCAATAAGGCAAGCAGAAAGAGTGAACAGAGGAATCACAATTATCTTGAGTGGCATATTCACAAGAAAAATGACACTAGGTGCTTTTGTCTATGACCTTAGATAATTTAGTATTTGTGAGCATGATTGCAGACAGATTTTCCAGAATTATTAACCGTTTATGTAGTCATCAGCGATAAATACTTGTTTATATTGTTAAAATTACAGTGAGATCACATGAAGAATATGAGTTTGCTTAGTGATTTGATTTTCCCTTGGATCTTCTGCTCTATCTCTATGATGAGATCATAATATTTTATGCAGAATAGAAGTTATATTCCATCTGTGTCTGATATGACTAATAAAAACCAAAGAAATTGTTCTGCTTTTTCTGATTAAAAAAGACAGTAATCACGAAAGAACCTTTGCGTGCAGTAACGTAATATTTATGATTGACTCCTGGCCATGTTTTTGTTTTTACTGACTGAACCTTTCTTTAATTTAAGGCCAGCAACAACATGCCACTGGCAATGGCAATGTTCCATGGCCTAATCCTCGAAATTCTGTGGATGCTGAAACATTGACGACTTAACCTTCAAGTACTAAATTACATATCGAAGGTCATACCTGAAAATTTCATTAAGATTTATCAAAGGGCGCTAGGGGATGTCCTTCCCCTTTCTCTCATGGTTGCCTGTTGTTTTGGGCATCATTCAGCATTCCTTTTACATAGTTTCTAGGGATACAGTCTTTGTCTGACCCTGGCCAAATACCTGTCTCTCAGCAGGTGTCTGAAAATGGGTCTTTCCATGCTTGGTTTAATGTCCAAGTTTTTTTTAATGTGTTTTTTAGTAAGCGCTTTCAGGAAGCCAATTACAGCCACTTTTGAATAATGACCATATAAGCTTCAGTAATCTTTTAGTTCAAAAGTGCAGGTGGACGGTAGTGGAAGAATTGTGTAGGTGGTTATGTAAAAGTAGCAATACGATTACGGTATGTAAAAATATTAGAGATGCATGATGATTATAGGGGCAGATAAATTATGGGCCGATAATGGGAAATTGACATTATTATAAATTATTCCGGTAATTTAGTTAATAAATTATCAGTCCATGATAATAATAATATTTTATTTTGAATTGTTATGCAAAACAATTGATAGGCTTTATACTCTAAGAAAGCCAAAGTAGGTTTCTGAAGTTTTTTGATGAACTTTACTTGAAAAAGTGTCAGAACTGTTCTCGTGTTAACAGTAGAGATGTCAGTTAGATTTGGTTAGGTCACAGCTATGGAATATGAATTCATCCATCTTTTCTCAATACATTAGGTGTGTAAAAACTGCAGGTTATGAACTTCTTTTTAAAATACAAAATTATTGGTGATCTTGTCAGTATCGATCAAGCAGGTAATTATTGTTGTATAGGCTGAAAAAAAAATCCATATCTTGCATCCTTGAAAAATACCCTTATTGCAAGTAACTGTCTTACATTCATATCTTACCTAAGTATCAGTATGAAAAATGTATGTATGTAAATTAAAGTCACTAAAATAACTCATTATGCAGCAAAATTCCCCCTTTTATTTATAAAAGATATCGATAATTTGATAGTAAAATAAATCTGAAACTATTTTGATAATTCATTAATTGCTTAAGTAATTTTTAAGTAGAAAGGGGAAAGAAATGGTTTCAGCTTCTTCGGTGCAGATATTTGCTGGTTTTGCCACCAGTTGGTTCCATTTGAACATTCTGTTGCCATAGCAACCACAGTTCCATGGCAGTTTAACTGACAGTGTTACATTGTCCATTTTGTGCAGCAAATATTGACAAGCAGCTTTTACTCCCCGAATACTCTTGTTTGAGTCTAATCTCTAGCTTCTCTTTTGTCAGAAGATTGTTGATATGCGATGTGTCGATTGGGTTTTTCTGTAATCAGCTTAGTGCTAACCATATTAGCCCTTGTTCTAGCAGTTTGATGCTATTGTGTCGCTAATACAACATTCTAAACAACTGTTTATTTATTGTTAGGCTATTTGTATTTAACTCTTCTTACTTTTACCTGTATGAACACTTGGCATGCAGGACAGTGCATGTCATTTGAAAGTTATTCTAGTTCTTGCTCAATATAGTGCTTTCAAACATCCCTCAATGGTATGAATAATAATAAAAACAACAACATTGATGCATTGATTATTACTGTTAAGTGTCTGAAAACTCAATTCACAGAGTAAGCTACATAAAGACTGAGTGCCCCTGTTTTACATTCTGCAGTTCACTGACACGTTTTATAGCAGTTTAACCGACAGTGTTACATCCAAATGTAGACTGGCATCTTTTATCTATTCTAAAAATGTCCTCGTTGGACTGTTAAGTGCTTTTTTATTATAGTTGTTTTGCTTTTGTTTTACTGGTAACCAAACTAGCTGTTATACTAGCAACCTGATGCTAAAGGTGTTGCGTATCAACCATTCTAACTGTTTTACTGTAATGCACTCTGTATGTGTATGTTTGCGACATTAATAATTGAGTTGTCTCATGTTGACTTTGTGTCTTCTTGAGATACAGGACAATGTAACTAATTTGACAGCTAGACTTTTGTGAATCCACACCTTTGGTCCAAATTTTGTAACGATTTGAAAAAAACCCAACATAGTTTCAAATATTATTGGGAATGAAGTGGAACAGAAATACTGTCTCCTTACTGTTTCCTTTTGGTGCTGTGTTTATGTGTCGGATAACTGTTGATGGATTTTGTCTACAAAAAGGAAAAATTTGTATCAGAGAAACATCAGCTTGTTTTCTCTGGGCCTTTTCTCCTAGCAGACAGATATCCAAATCTTTCTGGAATGACGGCGCTAGTTATTCGTTTCAATTAGTCAGGGCACAGTATGCTATTGTTTCATATTGGTCAGTCTCAATCCAGCAGACCAGCAGTCCTCAGATGACATTGCATGTTGTTTTCTTTCCCTCTTTGTCCATTTTTCTTTTTGCTGTCCTTTGTGCACTGTCTGGACAAGCTGAAATGCCGCCAAGCCAAATTCTTTTAAAAAACTGAGTCATTACCTAACAAATTCTGTTTATTTCCAGCTTGCTGTGTGTGAAGAAACACAAGGAAGATTCGGGATGCAGTGGAGTTAGAAATAAAACTGCCTTTGTGACCCTCTCACAGTTTGATGAAATGGCGCTTCTGAATGGTGATCCTCTTCTTTATTTCTTCCCATGGCTGAAAAACTGAAACAGCATAAATAGTTTTTGCAGTATTTATTCTGAAGTATTTTTGTAATGATTGGTATTATAAAAACAAATGCTTTTAATTGTATGTGTGTTTACTGTTGTCCTTTACCTGTACTGTAGACTACAGATTTCTTGAGGATACAGGACGATTTGCTGATGGTGCCACCAGAGACAATCTCATCCGGACTCCTCGTTCCACTTTAAAAGTACGTCCTTGATTTACAAATTTAAGTTTTTAATGTTGAGTAAAGGACCAGTGTGTTGGATTGAGTGCTATCCGGCAGTGACGTTGCAGATTGCAACCATTTGGATAAAGCTCAGCCTTCCAAGTGCTGGTGAATCCTATTCAAGAATAATCTTACAAGTTGTATTAATCCAATTTTGTATTATTCCCATCCGAACACACCGTTCCCACATCATGAAATAATGCATTCTAAAGTAGTTGTTTTATTTTCTTCAAATAACAACACGTGTGTTTCTGAATTCACTGTGAATAGTTTTGGTATTTAAGAACCAAAAACAGATGGTCCTCTCTTCATTGTTCATGTGTTAGCTCTGAAAAAAAGTTCAGAACTGTTCAGCCAGTTCAGCCAAGACTTTTCTTTTGAGTGCTGAAATATCTATCTTACCACCAGATCACAGCTAAATTGAAAGTTAATACGGGTAAGATTTAAAAGCTTAAAGATTTTTACAAACTGAGACACTTTGACCCTGAGCAAGAACAGGCTGACCTAACACTGACCACACCATCCAAAGACCAGGGTCTGTACTCAGTTAACCACTAAGAATGCAAAAAGGAGCCAACCTTTTTCTGTAGCCCTTTCCTTAACAAGATTACAAATTGCACATAAAAACAAAAACTAATAAACTAACTAACTTATAAAAAATAAGATTAAACATGTACACTTTCTAGAGTGGTATAATAAAGCCCAGTAACATATTAAATAACCATAAATAACAAAAAAAAAACAATAGGAAATTGGCTTAACTGATGAAAAAAGATGTTTGGCTGCTGTGAAAAAGGTCTTTTAGTACCACATTGCAAGTGCACACAATGAAGATGCATGAAAAGTGATTGTAAAAGTAAAACAGTGCTTTCTTCTTGTTGTTTTAAGCACATACATGCATATTAGGTCAAAACAGCCCTAATCTGAATTATACATACTTCTTCTTTATTCAATCACTCTAAAATATGTCCTGCACACTGCACCCATCTAAGATTCACTCTTAAAATACATAAGAGACGTGGAGCTCTCTGACATTTAAGAGCAATTTAAGTCCTAATAAATGTGATAATTAGCTTTTAGCTTTAAGTTTTGTTTGTGAGCAGGAGAAACCCATGAAAAATGGGAACAGCCTTATCAAGAGCCATTGTCTAGAGCCAGTCAATGTAGAAACATTGCTGTTCAACATGGCAGCCTCCATGTTAGCCGACCTGCTGCATCTGTAAATGGTTCATTCTAAGATAACGAAAACATAATAATTCTTATTTCCAGGTGATTATAGACCAATGTAAACATAGTTATGCATATTCAATTTCTGACAGTAGGCTCTCCTAAATGTTACACACCAGACATGTAAGTCCAAAATTCCACTAGCGGTGTGATAAATGCATTTATCCGTGAGGAAATTCATTTGTGTGACTGTCTTTTATTATTTTCAGAAACATTCTGAAAATGTAAAATGAGATTTACGTGGTGCACATTATTATCATTTCAGTTGCATTTGTAGCAAAGGTACTTTATATACATGTCAGTGATCCATTGTTCAATTAGATATCTGATGTACATAACGATCCAAAGATGAGAGGTGATGGTAAAGACCTAGCTTAGCAGAAAAATCATCAAAATGTGTTTGTCTTTTTATTGCTTCACTTATATAATTTGTGGTTGTAGTTATGCAATGCTTACTGCTGTTGTTCCAAACCACAGACATTCAATTATGTAAGATTCTGTGTCCCTGCCAGCTTTCACCTGTATTGTTACTACAAGACAACACAAGTGGTATTTGATAGGTTAGAGTAATGCATGTTTTTTTTATGGGACTTTCAGAGGCGGTGACTGCTTCAGAGGTCACAAATCAATCAAAATAATGAGGCTCATTCTCAGCGAGAGATAGAGGCTTGGCACATGATGAGCTTTGGGATTTGGGTTTTTACCAGAACATTGCAAGTGCAGTAATCTGTTATTAGCCTTGTATAGCCCTGCCTTTTTAATAAATCTGTTTTACTGTCTCTTACTACCTGCCAATCTGAACTCATGAAGGAGCTACACAAGTGCCAGGAAGGAAAGGCTTGTCCTTTCAAATTTAGATGAAGTCAGTAAGGAGAAGTTCAGGTCATCTTTGGTTTAATTGCTTGTACAGCCGGATTTATTGATGCAGAACAGATGTTTGGTATTTAGACCTATTTGTTCTTAGAGAAGATGTCCCCCCCACTGACTTTTCCACTGAACTGAAATGCCAGCCAGCCTGTGGTCCCAACAAATCTGTTCAAAGCTAAGAATAGAAACTTTCTGTTACATCCTGTTTCACTTAACAGTTGCATGCTGCTGTGAGATGTTTATTGAAGGTCTGATAGCTGTAGGGTAGTTCTTTTTGGTATTCTGAACAGTAAACAGTAAACTGTGTTCATTTTTCTGATACTACTGTATACAGAATATAATGGGATAATGTTTTGCATACTGTGTAGAGCTGATGATGATTATATTCAATATCAATTAATATTAGTATTATTTTCAAATCATATGACTGTGTTATATAAAATGCCAGAAAATTACAATTTTCTAAAGCCAAAGTGACCATATTCAAACTTTTCATCAGTCCAAAACCCAAAGGTATTCAGTTAGACAAAGCAAAAAGCAGATATTCACATTTGATAACCTGAAACCAGTGAAAATATGTAAATGATTGATCAAGTATCCAAATTGCTTCTGATTGATTAAATGAATGATAACTGTATTATACCGAATTATACTATTATATCGTACTGTACTATCTGTACTTTTCTGTTTTCCAGACAAAGAAGCTGGCAGCCAATGCCAGAAAGATGAACATCACATTGAGATTCCTCCCCATCACCTTCACTAAGAGCAAAGAAAACTCCACCTTCTTCCTTACAAAGTAAGATTGAAATAACTCAAATACAAGCAGTGTATTTTGACTTTAAATTGAATATTATTGTTTATCTTATCCTTAGCTGTGGTTTGAAAAAACTAGTGTTACAGAGAGGAACAAATTATTTCAATTTAATTTGAAAGTCACCCAGGCTCCTCACTTCCTTTAGGCCTTGAAGCAGCGAGTGTCTCAATTAAAAATAATAAGAACATCCTTTTTCATTTGAAAAAAGACTACAAGAATGTTTTTTTTTACTCTGTTGTTACAATTTAGAAAAATTGTGACCATAATGAAAATGATTAATTTCTTAAATATCAAACGTGCTACATTATCATAGAAAAAACTGAACAAAAACACACTGTAGCACAAACGCAAGTAATAGAAAAACAACACCATGGGTGTTTGGATTTCAAACATTTTAAGACTGATTGTAATATGCTCAGTCAAACTCAAAGACATCACTTCACGGGTTTCTGGTGAAGTTAAATCCTGCTTAGTTTGGAGCAAAATGAGCTTCTGATTAGTGATGTTTTACTTTACCACAGGATGGCACTCTTGTTAAGCCCTAACAGCAGTTGTATCGAGTGCTTTCTCTCTTCAGGTTCTCATGGCAGTCTGCATGACAATGAAGGCATCTATCCATGTCTGTTAAATGTGTGATCAATGTTTTATCTGAGGCAGTTGTAGTGTTATTGTCGTTAGCACACCAGTCTCTGTTAGTCGGAGATGAGATGAGGTTTACCATTTTCTCAAGTGAAATTAAACCATGACGACATCCTTTAGTCGTTTGAAGTTTTTATGTATTTCACAACACTTAAATCCTGTCCAGGAGCAGAAACCTTTCAAGCTAGTGGCCGTTTTTGTCAGATTTTTGTGTTCAGTTTCAGTATATGAGATCACACATGCACTCTTCCTTTCGAGGATCGATGGCAGCGTGTTCCGTGCTGCAGACAACCAATTACTGGGCAGCTGCAATACCTCTCGTCTATCATGGTTTTACCACACTTAAAGGAACAATCTGTAAACTAATGCAGGAGTAGGTGAATAAGGGAAGGTTAATTGAGTTAATTAATTGGTTAAGTGATTTCACATTCTGTAATAATATATTATCTAGTCTAGTCTACCTGAAGGCATGGTGTTTTATTAAAGTCAAAGCACATTAAAAATGCAGCATTATGTCTGTCATCACCAGTAGGTCTAACCTTTTTAAGCTTAGAAGTTATAGGACCAGTAAAAGATTAAACAAATAGCACTCTAATCTACGGCTAGACTAGTTGTAGATCAATTGAAGAAAAGGTTAAATCAGTGGTCAAAATCAGGGCCCAGTTGTTCCTGAACCATTGACCATATCTGAATTTTGTCAGGAGCTAGTTTATTCATTGTTCAAATGTTATTAAAATTTATGTTTTCATAAATGCTCCTCTAATATATTATCATGTGTCATAGCTCCATAGCCCTAGTGGCATTAATTGAAGTCAGTGATTATGGTCAGTTCTTCAAGTAAGTATTGCGTTGTGAGATTTTGAATAACAGAAAAAGCTGTAAAAGAAGGTTCATTTAAATTATAATTAACACATACCATATACATATACCAACACATTTGGTAGTGTTGCATGGTGTTATTAACCTTTTCATATTGGTAGTTTAATGATTTTGGGAGAAAGTGTTTTAGTGTAGTGAACTTTGCAGACTTGCAGTGATTTAGAGACTGTGGCTTATTTCTTTAGACCCTGAAGTAGTAAGTAATTCTTTCGCATGGGCACTTTTCCAATTTGCTCAGTTCTACTGGTGGTCTTGTCATGTCTGGCATCTTTTTCCCTCCTTGGACAACCTTCTGCTACTCTTTTTTCCCATTTCTTTTGAGACTGAGTCCTGCCACTCTAATCCCTCTGTGGAAGAATAAAGGAGGGGAAGAGGGGAAAATGGTTATTGAACTGCATATTAAAGTTTTACGAGTCTGAAATGCCCAGGGACAACATTGGGTGCCAATCAGAATTGCCACTAAAAGAATCCTTTGTCAGTCCCTCCAGCTGGTTTTATGTTGTTACTTTCCCTTTCACCACCCTCTTTTCCATCCTTAAAGTCTAGCACTCTGTCACGTCTGTCTCTGGTGTTTTGCAGGCGGTGAGTTAAATGTGCACGTCACATCTCGGGATGAGGCAACATTATGTCAGGTTGTAGTAGCACACTCTACCCACCCTCTAACCCCATACTCCCCATCCCCAACACAAGGCTTGTCAGATGGTGACAGAAAGTTTTTGTTGGATGATACCAGAATGTCTGTTAAGCTTTTGTTATTTAGTTTCAACACCTGGGAAATGTGCTAAATTCCCACAACTGCTCCGGCAAAAGACACAAGAAGAACCTTGATGCTTTTGCTGCTGCAGTATCCGTAGAGGAATCTTTGGCCAGCTGCACAGCATTATTTCTTTGTTTAGTCTGGTTAGTTTCACTGAAGATTTTTCAACCAACTGCAACAGTGCCCCATTCACAGACAGCAAATGGACACAAGGGATGGGATGAAAGGTATATAATAAATTGCGAGAGATCGAGAGAGAGAATGTGCTACAGAATGTACCAAGTACATAATATAAAAAGCAGATGTGTGAGCAGTGTGACTGCAGCTGGTTAGCGACATATTCATGCTACGCGCTTGTGCTGCCAGAGAAGGATCATTACTGGCAGACAGCTGACTAGAGGGCTTTCATGCCTGGCGATGGTGTGTGTCTGTGTGTGTGTGTCTGTCTGTGTGTATGTGTGTGTGTAAGCGTGAACGTATGTGTGTGTCTCTTTGATTAAATATTTGTACTCAAAGTAATGGCCGTGCAACTTCTTTCTTTCCACCTTTTGCCGGTGACTAATTTGAAAAACAAGGCACAAACCGTAAAGAGACTGACAAAAAATTACAGGCTGCCTCTCAGTTCAGCCCTTGGAGGGTAAGTATATAATAGCTGGCATTTGGCAGAACATTGGGAGTAGCTGTGTTAGGGTGGAATTATGTTTTCTACAGCCTCAGCCTGGCATGGCAGGGCATTTTCCTCATAGACAGCTTGAGTGGACTGGACAACACATTGCAGATGCAGTTACTGTGGATAATAACTACATATTTCTATAATAACTTGAGATAATTAGTAATATGAGCAGCTGTGGATTTGTGCCATGTATGTCAGTTTGCCATATATTGGGAATCAGACTCAGTCAGCTCTGGGTTAGAGGAGACCTAATTTTGTTCTCTAAATATTGACAGGTGTTGAAGAACAGTCAACTCAAGAAATCAAGTGCTTCTTTTCGATGCTACAAGAGAAAAATGTAATTTTTGGAAATGGAGTCCTAATCACCCACAAGTAGATTCCTGCACCCAGTGAACTGAGTAGTATGTCCTTATCTTACCCATTTTAATATATCATAAAATATTTTTAATGCACGGCGTGATCCTGTGCATGCACTTTTGCACTAGCATGTTAAACTCTCCCTCTTGCCTCAGTTTTCTGTTTAGCTGTTGGACAACAATCTCCTCCTCCATTCCACTATAATTTAAGCTTCCACAAAAAAAATCAAGAGCTTTTCGTCTGATTCCTTGTCGTCATTTACTTGTTCTCGCTGCAGCTGCCCAATCCATACAAGCATTTTCTTGCTTGCTTTCCCCAGCCATGTTATTGTGTAAAAGGAAGCGGATGTGTTCTCATTCTTTTTTGGCTGGTGGCATGTCACTAAAATGGCACCTGGTACCTCATTAACACTTTTGCCTTCAAACATGGTCAGTTTACACATCAAATGAGCTAGTTCCTTTGACGCATACCAAAGCCTCTACTCAATTATGATTATAAAACACCCAAAACCAAGCCAAGACAAAACCAGACATGCATTGCCACCTTAATGCTGCATAGCCAAATTTTGATACAGTTAGGGCTGACCAGAATGCTTTGAAGTTTTGAAGCTTCAACCGTTGCCTTTATAATCAACCTCAGAATTAGTACACAAATGCTTTGTTTTTTTATTTTTTTTAATAGGTCTGACAGGTTGAAACCTGATCTCCAGTGTTTCCCCACATATAGACTTTCCTTGGGCGGGCAGCCCAGGTATATTAACGGCCGGTGACCCATTTTAGCATTTTGCAGAGAAACACAGAGAGAGAGAGAGGTAGAGAGAGACATTATCTGGTATTCGATAGATTACAGGAAGCCTCCTCCACAAGCCGCACACCTGCTGTTGTGAAAACGGAATCCAAAATCCAAAATGTGAGTTGTGTTTTCTTGGGCGACTTCATAAGTTAACGTTAAAGACTTTATAACTATTGAAATTGTGATGATGTGACATTTGTTATGGTCTGTACCAAACAAACATGCTTTCTTACATCTGGAGAACAAGATTTGTAGGCCAGGGACACACTTTTTACCTCCATCAGAAAATTGCTGCTTCTTGTGATTTGGATATTGCACTTGGTCATGTTTTGTTTCGAATGATATTGCGATTAATTGTTTAGCCCTGCTGCTAACGTAAAAAGTCAAGAGAGAAAAACAGAAAGGGGTGGGGCGGGGCAAGATGGTGTGTGTGCAGAGGAGCAAGCTGATTGCTTGATCCAACTCTGGTCGGAAAGTAGGCCCAAGATGAAAAAGGAAAAATATGTAAACAGTATAAAAATCAGTTAAAGAATAAAATAAACAGCCATGTGGACATTGTGCATGTTCTCCTACACACATTCTGCATGTTCCAGCCTTAAGTCCACCATTCTTTTTTCACTGATTTGCTGGTGGAAAGCTTTTTAAACTGAAGCAGGAAGTGATTGGTTTGCACTAATATTAGTTCAACTGTGTTTAAAAACTCTCAAAAGTGTTAAAAAACTACTGAAGAACTACTAAAAGCTGAACATGGTGGACTTGCCATCACCAACACGTTTGTCCACAGTTATCCCCTGCAGTCAATGTGCAGTGCAAATGCACTTCCACAACACGCCACTGCTAAAGCTTGCAATACTGGGACAATGGAAAATGGTGTAATTTTAGAAC